AACGCTGTCGTTGGCAGCAAACGTACACACTCGCTTATAGAAATCAAGCGGTGTTCCTGGAAGTGTGGCTATTGAGGTATTATCACGTTAGCTGTTCTGTACGTCTAAACTACACTTAGTAACTACCTGGCCGTTGAGGTACATAGGCAACATGAGTACGCCAAACAGGAATACCAAAATCATCTGGCATTCTAGTCAATTGTCGTATTGAATATCAATTAAATTGCAGCATCAATCCTTTCTATTAAAAACCTACCGTCCATCTAATGTTATCGAACCATCGTCTAAATCGTCTAATTGAGCAATACAGCGCAACATTGTTGATTTACTACCGGTTTTATTAATAAATACCGAGTTAGTATGACCATATACATGTTAAATATACTTTTGTAGCTACCCAACACCGCTTGGTCCACGAATCACTAGAATCTCGCCATCTTCTACACCAAATGACACCTCGCGAAACAGTGGAGTACCATCGTCCTTGGTGCGCGTTATATTCTCAGCTTTTAATACAGTCATAAAGATAACAGTAACTGGACAGAATATGGAAAGGTTGAGGTACTTCCGATAAGTAAAAAGCAATAACAGAATAGACAAAAGTCGATTTCAAGTCATTTGATAAGGCCCTGCTGTTTCCACGATAATTGATTTGTCTTGGTTCATTCTATTGGCTTTGTTTATTTATAACAGCACTTATAATATAAATAAAAATAATATGTTATGTTTAGAGTATGGCGAATACTAAATGGTAATATTAAATATGGATTAATTAATAAATGGTTTGTTACTATGACCATGTAAAGAATGCATGTTGATATGACCAATATATATATATATATAAATAAAGTATAGAAGCACTATAGCATTAAGTAGCAGCTTAATATTAAATAACAATATTCTAATGTAAAAAATCATTGCATTGCTATTCAATATTTAGTTAACAAATGGCCACCTGTTTGTATATTAGTTACATAAAATATTAGTAAACAAATAGTGTAAATCCCATTATTGCTTTTTATTTTTAATATCACGTGACTTTATTTTTAGTACAATATGGCAAAAACCTCCAACAAAATATGGAGGTGTGTTGGCCGAGCGGTCTAAGGCGCTGCACTCAAGTTGCAGTCTTCGTATGAAGGCGTGAGTTCGAATCTCACACACACCAATATACTTTTTGCAAAAATAATATCATGTAATGGCTGAACAATGTACTATAATAGCACTTGTTCAGCCAGCATTTTTTATCCAAACCTCTCTGATCAGCTTTCTTTTGCAAAATCGCTACTTGTAGCTATTTAATTCTTTTTACACATTACAGTAATATGACCATCAATACACATCATTAGCAACATGCTACATCATTTCTTAACTAACAACGGTACGCTAGCCGCTACATGTTACTAAGTTACTTATTGGTGGCCTTTTAATAATACCATCCACTGCCGTTTATCTATATTATGGTTGTATTGCCATATGGCCAAGTAGCAATCAACTACTTGTTTATTCTTTTCTATCATTACTTAACAAATATCCCATTAGCTTTCCTACTACTCTTCCATCTTTATTAAAAAGCTAAACATTAGTTTAAACAGTGTATCTGTATGTTACGCTGCTCTAAAGCTATATAGCTTATACAATTAATACATAAACTTATAATATAACAATATTTTCTTCTATTATATCAGTTATACAGCGTGAACAAACATGCCATTATCATTAGTATGTTTTTGTAAATTAGTCTCGTCTAAAACAATCAATGCTTTATTATAATATTGTTATATAGCAACAATGATATCGACTAAAAATATATGTACTGAAACAGTACTACTGCTAATAAAGCTGCTAATAATTATTGGAATCGTAATTACGTAATAGGTTACTTAGTATGAATGATGTTTATTTTCTTGTAATTATACAATAATAAAGATAAAAAATGCATTGTTATTACTATATATTAATATTAATGTTGTTATTAAAGCCTTAGTATAAATCACGTATTTAGATTGATGCACTTTACTATAAGCACTACTATTGCAAGTATTACACCGCTATTCATGTCTTTTTCTATCACGTTAACTAGAACAGATATTTTTGACACTCAATCGCCATTAAGAAAAGTTGTTTTACATTATGCTTTATCTCTTTCCATGACTTACACAGATTGTTTTCTTACTTATACTGAATATTTTGCTATAAATTATGATTACATATGCCTCTTTTTATTTACCATATTCCATACCTTGGTTGATATATAGCAAAATGCTTTTACAGTCCGTTGTAATCTTTATGAACATCACAATACCCATGCTGTTGTTTTTCTTTAGCCATAGATCAGCATACTGGCACAGTAATTGCGATGTTTATAAGATGATGTCACAAAATTTGCTAAATAATAAATAACTGTTCCAATTACATCTTAGTTAATAAACGGTTTTATAAGATAATATCGCTTAAAAAATTGTATTTATTTTTCTAAAAATGACAAAAAATATAGTCGCATTTCACGGCTACTTAAAAGTAAAAGATTAGTAAGTAAAACTGGAGCAAAAGCACCCGCCCAGATTTGAACTAGGAAAGTATTTTTGCAACCAAAGCGAAAAGATTCTGTATTGCGTACCGGGCACTGAAATCTTATTACTCATCATGTATATAGCCAAGATTTTGTGTAACCAAGCTGCATATAACTGGCCAATAAAAATCTAATTAAAAGCAGATAAATACTACAAGGCAAGGCAATATTATTTGAAGCTCTCCAATCTTTTAACTAAGCAATATGGCATTGTGGTGCAAGTATTTAATTTTTAACATTTATCCCAATGTTTCATTAGTGATATCATTACAGGTAATTGTCATAAAGCTTGGTTTATCTGCAATAAAACATTGTTATTGATAATATGTTACATGTAAAACTGTCAGTTATGCAATGCTGCTACAAAGTGCTACTATCGCTTATCAAGCAATGCCACCGGATATACAACAACAAATAAAACAGTATACTTTACTGATATTGCAGCAAGTATCAATAGCTTAATATTGATTTAGTTCCCATATCCCACTGCCTATAGAATGCGCAACTATATTATGTGTAGTACTATTTAGTTGTTATTTAGCTTATTGCTATTTGATTCAATCCCACATAGTTATGCATGCCCTTTAGTTTAGTATACTGCCTTTTGAAATCATATTGCATATGTCGTACCTACTAAACCCACCAGACTAACCATGACATCCATATTATTTTATAGAAGTAATTATCATTACAGTGAGTGCATCCTTACATAATCTTACTATATAGATATTGTTAAAATGGTCCGTTTATTGGCTACGGCGACTATTTTGACCAAGCTGCGATTGTCCCATTTGCAAACACGTATGACCAGCCACCAAGTATTGTTAGTTATACATTTTGCAAACACTGATATCTTCATATTCTAAGCATTGTTTTTCATATAAGTGGAAAACTGCCATAAAACTAATTACTTTTTATTACCAATAAAAAACATGTAAGTTATTCTAACTCATATTCTATGCATTATGTTTATACTTGCTACTATATTTTTGTAATATCATTATAGTTCATTACAAATAATATCAACGACTTAATTAATTGTCTTATTTATTTCCATTATTGCTATTAAACAGTTTATTGCCAATTTATGTGATTTGGGGGTCAAATGATTATTTTTTGTAACATTCGCGCAATTGAACTGCACATTCAATCTATTAAGTATAATGATGGGTGGTGAATGACATCAATCATCGAATACTCATCATCATAGATTTATTATCCAGTATGCATGTACTCAGCACACATATATACTCTATTCATCTATATTATTCCCATTCTATCCCATACTACTATATATTATTCTACGGTATACTAGACACATTCTATTGTTTATATGTTCCAATATACTTTACTCATTCCCCTCATTCCCCTCATTGCACTATACACACTGTAACTTTAACATCGTTTTATATGCTTTCTTACGGTGCATTTATCATTCTATGTATCATTCTATACTCGCATCGCCTTCCTCTATCCAAAACTGTTTTTATTTTTGTTCTAGCTCTATTATTAATAAATGTCAACTAATTCCGCTTATTGATCATGCATACATGTTCAATAACTTTAACATTGCTAATCGTCAATTTGTACCGTATATTCTTTATATTTTATATCATTTTATTGTCCAATAGCTACGCACTACCTATTGTAATTGTTCTTTCTGTTCTAGTTTTACTATTAAAAAAGTTCGACTAATGTCGGTCATTTGCTCATGCATATGTGCTCAATAACTTTAACATTGCTAATCTCTTTCAATATTGCATATTCATTACAATTTTTATTATTTTATTATATATTGGCCATACGCTGTCTATAACCGTTGTCGGTATGGTTCCAACTCTTTATGAATAAACATTGACATATTGCACTTAGTCTGTTCACTGAGTTATATTAGTAGAACAAATAATATGGATATGAACGGAGTTATGTTTTATTAAGATTATTTATAAATAAACTAGATCATGCTAACTAGTTATGGTTTTAATGCTAATCAAGCAAAGTGATGAGTATAAATAGTAATAACACATACTGTGATAATATATGCATACTATATAATTAATCTATAATGATGAGTGTTTGATAACTGATGTCACTCACTACCTACTATCATGTTTAATATAAAGAATATGTGAGTATATTTGCATGGTATGTAATTGTCATTTAACACTAAAAGTAAATATAATTATAGCTAATATAATAAAAACTAACGGAAAGTAACTAAACGATGATTTATTACGTTTTTATATTACAAATTTATAAACAGGTATTATACCCAACTATAGCCAAGTATTTAAAAAAGATATATATAAAATAGGTGGACACAGTATGTATACCAAGTAAATAAAATGCGTACAAATTAATTACTGCTTTTGTAGATTTTTTCAGTAAGCATATATAGTATATGCATACTAAAATTTTGTCATGGGATGTTCCCGTAGTCTAGTGGTTATGACGTTTGCTTTACACGCAAAAGGTCCTTGGTTCGACCCCGAGCGGGAGCATGACATTTTTGCATCGTTTAACAGCGTGCAACTAATTTTTTACTATTTTTGAGTGTAAAAGCAGTCACGCCAATATATTTGGACCGCTGTAAAGTCAAACAAGCGGCATTAAAGTGTACAGCATGCTATGTGTACAATAAATACTTATTGCTTAATTATTTCTAACGTTAATACAATTATACTTAAAACAATACAACACGCGATAACTAGAGTGCAGCAGAATAGTAGGTGGAGTGGCAGAGAAGAGTTTGTAAATAAGAAATAGCAATTTGTTTATTATAGGTGTGCTATATAGCTAGTTAAACGTTAGCCCATTGTAGCTGTTTATAGTTATTGTGCTGTGAATAATACAGAATAGACGTAAAAGCAATATTAATATATAGGTACGTATAGCAAGGTAATTTTATAGCTAGTATAATCGCTGACAGCCTAGAGCATTGCATCAACCATCTCAGTAATGGTTACATAGTATAGTACGCGATTGGAATAATATTTTGTATCGATAGTTGTTTATAGGCATGGTGTATAGCATGGCATGTGTAAAATAAATAAACATTTATTAGTGTTTGAAGCTATTATAATTTAATTGATTAATGTATTTAAATAACACAATAGTAATAAAATAAGTAAACCAACTTGCATAGCTTATAACAGCGTATTTAGTATTATAAGCAATAAAATCAATACTGCTATTTTTAAATTATAAACAGTATAGTCATGTTTTATAATAATGCTATTTATTAAAGTGTTGTTTAACTAAATAAATGGCATAACTAATTGGATTTATAAACCCACCGATTCTGTCTATTGACTTGAATCTTAGTAGTAATTAATAGCCATTGGCTACAGCTGGATGTATTAATTTGTATTGGTATTATTATTGGTATTATTATAGACTGGTGTCCAATAAGATGTACTGCTGTTAATTAGTGCAGTTGTTTTAATAAGGTCGGGAAATAATGATAACACATAATTAACAAAAAATATGGAATAATAAATGCATTGGTAGATGAATAAACAAATACGAACAAACAAACAATCAAGTAGTAGATTGAATAGTATCCTTATGATACTAAAGCAATATTGTACCATTCCTCTTCGCCGCTGGCCGGTGCTTCCTTCGACGATGTTGTGCGGCGGCTCTTCTTACCCGATACGGCTGTTCGACGCTTTTTAAGAAAACCGTTATCGGTCATCATTTCTTCAAGCACAGTTTCATTGGCAATTTCTACTGCACCTTTAGTGCGGCAGTACGCTTTGTAGGCCGAGTAAAGCTGCGCAGCTGGTACAAAGGAATAAGGACGCATTTCAAGTTGTTCATCTACAAATTGATCAAATATATCAACCAAATCTGGCGTCACTTCCGTTAGTACTTGTAAATGTGTTGTACTGTGTGATCCAGGTAGTCCGCGTAAATCAGCATCGACCGATCCTTCCGAGTCGGAGTCATCATCATCTTCTTCCTCTTCTTCATCGTCGTCTTCCGATGCAGTACTAATATCGTCAATATTGCCTCGAGATGATTGGCGTAGATGGTTTTGGTGTTGATCTGTTGCACGTCGATTAATCGCTGCTGTTGTGGCCGGATCTTCCAAGCCCGTAACTGGCATTAGGCCGGGTGAAGAGCCAGGTGTAGATACTCGGCTATGCATAAACGAGGATGGAATACCCAGCAACGAGCCATCTCCGGCCATAGATGTAGATGATAGATTTGGCAATTGAGTACCAATCATTCCAAATTGGCCATCAATTGTATTCATCATTAATTGTTGCTGTTGCTGTTGTTGCTGTTGCATTAGCAGTTGTTGCTGTTGCATTTGTAACATTTGTTGTTGTTGTTGTTGTTGCTGTTGTTGTTGCTGTGTAATATTCAGCAACAATACTTGTCACTGTCTTCCATCATCATCATACCAGGTCCCATCATACCAGGATTAGCACCCATTGGCATGCCACCCTGCATTATGCTCATATTACCGGCGGCAAGTGGCATATTTGACATACGTCTACGTATCATTTCATCTTGCACAAATGCATTTTGACGTTGCTGTTCAAGCCAGCGTTCCTTTTCGCGTTCAAGTGCTCGTTCCCGTTCCCGTTCCGGATCATGTCGTGGTGGGCCGTAGGCAGCATTGCTATACTTGTTAGCTGCCTTCCTTTGTTCTCTAGCGTGAATAGCGCCTACAAGACCGGTGGTCTGTGCTTGTTTACGCTTCTCCTTAAGCTGTACTAGTGGGCCACCTCGTTGTCCACCCACATTACCAGGTAGACCAGTCATGCCAGGCAGGCCATGCATATTTTGATGCTGTTTTGCTGCATCATGCGCCGCTAATAACGAGTTCTGTTGTGGCTTAAATTCACCCATTAATGGGCCTGAATAGTCAAATCCAGCCTCTTGAGCCATGGCCATGCGCTGCATATGATCTTCACCATAATTCATAAAACGCGAATTGGACCTCATACCATTCATGACACTTTGGTTGTCGTCGCCATAGGCACTGCCTGGACCACTGCCCATACCGCCGTTGTAAATACTGCCACTACCTTGACTAAACATAGAAATACGATTGTGGCCCATGAATGGTGCCATTGGCGGTTGCATCATGCCTCCAGTCTGGGCCATAAACATTTGCTGCTGTTGTTGTTGCTGTTGCTGTTCCCACCGCCAACGTTCTTCTGGTGTCATAAATTCCATACCAGGTATTGGTTGTATCGAATCAAGTGAACCGCTCATCATATGACTTACAGGACGCATTTGATTCAATGGATGGCCAACTGATGCAGGTCCGGCAGCTGGCATCATCATTGAAGGGTCATTGCCACGGAAAGCTGGATAAGCTGGCGTTGACTCTAATAAATGAGCTGATTGTGGTCTATTTGCTGCCATTAATGGCAATGTACCCTCTATTCATTGTTATTAGTAATATTAATCAATACTGTATTTGTAATTACCTGAATTATTTGATTGCCAGTCAAATGGCATTGATGGTCGACGTCCTTCGTTAAGTAAAGGAACACTGCCAGTACGTGGACGAACTGGCGACTCTGTTTCGCCAGTATTATTAAGTGTAGCCGTTTTGTTATCCATATTAGTATTCGTATTATCTTCATCGTCATCATCGTCATCCTCCTCCTCCTCTTCACTATCCGACGGTAATGGCATTTGTGATTTGGCCAATCGTCGATTGCGTCTTTTAGCTGCAGCACTAAGCGGTGCTTCAGGCTTTTCTTCTGTAGGCGTAGTAGTGATTGTAGCAGTTGTATTAGTATCTGCAGCAGGTGCATTAGGATCCATATTAAGGAATGATAAGTTAATATCTGACGATATAAGTCCACCCATAGAAGGCAGTAGATTATTTGTATCTACTGGTAGTGCATTTGCACCAGCTGTTGCCGCTAATGGTTGCGACAACTTATCTGTTTTCACTTCTTCTTTTTCTTCATCGTCATCCTCTTCCGGCTCTTCATCCTCTTCATCGTCATCTTCTTCAGAGTCGCTGGCCATTGGACGAGCTGCTTTACGTTGTCGTTGTGTCTTTTTCGCCACTTTATCCGGTGTAGCATTAACATCGCTCAGTGTATGGCCATGTAGACTATCACCCATCAAATCGCTACTCATAGATGGTATACCAGGCAGTAAAGGTAAGGCCATTTGAGATGATATTGATGTCTGTGCTGTAGACATTTGACGGTCATGTCCACCGCCGCTACTATTAATATTTTGATTAATAACCGATGCTGATGATACAGATGTATTGGCCGAGTGTCCAGGATGGCCTGCATTATAATTATACTGCATAGGATTGCTATCTCGTGGATGATGCATGCTTTCACTAATAGGTCCATTGTTGGGATTGGTATTAGTGTTGGCAGCCAATGGTGACCGGGTATGTGGATTACGTTCGTTGAATGTAGAATTACGAGAGCCAGGCGGGGATGGCGTGCCCATTTGCTGTTGTATCGGCGGAGGTGGAGCTGGAGAATAGACATTTGGATTCATTGGTGGTATTGGCGTTGTACTATGCATACTTGGATTGTGAACATGGCCTTGTCGATGACTAGATGGAGCAAATATGCCTGAATGCTGCATATTTGCATGTGGCGAACTGGCAGTGCTACTCATACTGCCACCGCTACGACCCATTGTTGGGGGACGAGGTGCAAATGGTGATGCGGCACTAGTATCCGTATTTGGATTACCGATTGGTGAACGTTGGCGTTGTTGTAGCTTTTCACCAGCAATACGATCGAATATCTGTTTTGTCGCTGCTAAACTATGGCCATCCACTGGAACGTTGGCCACATCGACTGGATCCAAATAAAGGCTACGTTCATCAGGCAATGGTATAATCTGTGGCATACCTGGACAGCCGTAAAGATAAAAGGCATCGTGGACTGCTCGTAGCCAACGGGCCATTTCAGCCGGTGCCGGTGCCATTAACTGGACAAATGCCGGTAATGGCGATGCCTCTTCACCTTGTGTGACTAGACCTTCAAGTTTATGAATAGTCGATAAATCAACTAATTGCGGCTTTTCCGGATAGATTGCATAGGCCTGTGATATATTGGTCATGACAAGAATGGGCTTTTTAGAACGTTTAGAGTCCATGAATACGATACGAGGCACCGGGCCGGTCACATCAATCACTGTCCAGTATTTCTTCCATTCTGTACTGCCGGTGGCACGTGCTTGTAGCCAGCCTTCAGTACGCTTTCCGGCCCGTGTCGATGCCCCTTGCTAAATACCGGTCGGCTCATTAATGCTTGCGTGTAGATTTCACACAAATGTGTCACTTCATAACAGGCAAGGCGAATGCAACGCACCCAAGCCGATAGCACTTGTGGCCCAGTAGCCTCAAGGTAGAATCGATTAGCACCAGCTGTATTAAGGTTAAATACAAAATGGCGTCCTTCTACCATACCAACTACATCAGCCACCGAGTCTGTAATATTGATGTAGTTGGGCACTGTTTGTGACTTGAGTGCATCAAGTGCTTGTGGAT